TCCCACCCTTCATGAAGGTGCTGGGCATTGGTCTCTGCTAATGATGAGAGAGTCCCATGACAATGGGTTTTGGAACTTAGGTAACACACATATACGCACATGCATATACCATGTACACACATATGTGTATATGTGTGCATATATGTGTGTATACAAGTTCATGGACCCTGGGTTAAGAACTTTTGGACTAGAGTATTATGGTGACCAGCCTACACTAGCTTCTTCCTACCCTGAACTCCACTTTGGGGGAGAGGGAATATCTCTAGTTCTAACTCATTTCAATTCAATTAAACAAGCATTTGTTAAATGCTGTAGGCAGGCTGGGTTGGCTACCCAGTTCAGATAGAAGACAGTTTCTGCCTTATGAAACTCTTGGTCTGCTGGGAAGCTAGCTCTTTGGGTGGTCCTAGGTGTCATCAGTCTTTATCTAGGCCCCTCCCCTTCCTCTCCCCATCCCCTATTCTTCTTTTCCTTCTTAGATTCATCCTCCTCACCTGCACCCTCAGGCCTTAGACTCCCTCTCTGGGCTCTGGGTCTGGATTAATTAGTTGCTCTCCTTCTCCCTCCCCTACTCTCTAAACACCCTGACACAACTACCCCAACTTCTCTGTGTTATGACTAGAGGAGGTGGCCCAAATATTGGGTCCTGGAATTCATCTGAGTATGAAAAATGAATAGAAGAAAAGCTGAAAGGGGAAAATGAGAGTGGGCTGGAAAGAATGCTAGATTTGAGGTCAGAGGACCTGGGTTCTAATCCTAGGTTCTAACTGGCCACTCATCAGTAAGGCCTGGATAGGAGAAGTACCCAGGCCTCTGGGCTAAAATTTTCTTCCCCTGTCAAATGAATGCCTTTAAACTAGATGATTTCTAGGGTGTATTCCAGCTCTAAATCTATGGAATGGCCACGAGGAGGGGCAGAGAAGTCCTACTTAAGCCCTGACGTCAGTAGACAAAGGTCATTTGGATATGCCCTGCAAAGAACCCTCCCCTTTTAAAGATGGTAATGACAGAGTCAGCCCATCCTCATGCCTCTCTGGCATTTATATGGACATAAGCCCAGATCCAACAAAAACAGATCTTCTCTTTTTTAACTACAACTACACCTGAGAAGAGAACGGTGTATATTGTCAGGTCTTGGTAGAAACCAAAGGCCTGAGACTCAGTGACTGTAGTGACCTGGAAGACCGCAGCAACTGCAGTGACCCTAGTATCCTCAGTGACCTTAATAGATTGATTATTCACTAGAGTGACCTGAATGATCACAATGAGCACAGTGACCCTAACGACTGCCATTACCCCACTGACCTATGACCCTAGAGACCCCAATGACCATGACACATACCCTACCAGAGGTACCTCCTGGGGAAGAGAAGGCAGCTGAAACCCCAAAGAAGGCTGACTAGCAGTGATCCCTCCTTCCACATGTGCCTCAATGCTGAGGAGAAAGGAGGGGCTGTCCAGCCACTGCTTGGACACCTGCAGAACTGGTTGGCCTTTCTTTGCCCTTTGGAGGTAGAAGCTATTAGGGGTGTCAGGAATCCTGATGATTTCACAGAGCAAAGAGAGCAGAGGGAAAGGAAACCCTTCCATCCATATTTCGGTGCAGGGTCGACTGGGAGCCTTTCTCAGCCTTTCTCCTATCTGCGGGGAATGAGGACAGATTCAGGTTCCCAGGGCTGGAAGGGTGAGATATGGAGAGTGGCCAATGGGATTTTCAATCATAAAGTGAATCTCTGGCCAGGTCCCTGTAGGGCAAAGGGAATGGTTCCACGGGGAGATGGCCCCTCCTGGCCTCCCTTGCAGGGAGCTGAACCTGAGTCAGACTCCAAGGCTAGGAGAAGGCCAGCCCTATGGGCTTTCTAGCTAGGCTGGAAGGATCTGGCCTTACACAGGAGAAAAAATGCCCTTGTCTACATAGGTCAGAAAGCTGGGAGATATCTTAGAAGTAGTCTTGTTCAGTCTAGTGTTCATTCTTCTCTAGACTTTTTTTTACCATGCCACAGAAATCTCTTCCCTGGGGAAGCTCGCTTGACTTGTGCAGACTTCTCACGTTGGAAGTACCCTCTGCCTCTCCTTTTGATTGGCTGGTTCCTTCCACAAACTCCTCTTTGAGGAAGACACTCAGGTCAGCCATGTTTTCATTCCTTTCCAGGCTATACTCTTGACTCTACCAACTTGCTCTACTGTGCCCCATTACAGGTACCTTCATCCTCTCCTTCCTCTTCTTGCTATCCTTTTCCATTTCATTTTATGCATTGTTCCCTCCTCTTGCCATTAGAATCTAAGCTCCGTAAGGGCAGGAACTGTCTTTCTTTCTGTTTATATTTATATTCTCTACTCTTAGTACAGTGCCTTAGTACAGTACTACAGATAATAGATAACACACATGCTATTTACATTAAATAATAGGTTTACATTAAACCCTGTGAGGTAAGTGGTATTTTATGGATGAGGAAATAGAAGCTGGGAGAAGTTAAATGAGTGGCCTAGGGTGACACAGCTAGTAAGTGTCTGAGGCAGGATTTGAACTCTGGTCTTCCTGACCCCAAGTCTAGCACTCTATCTAGAAAACTGGGGACCAGAGAGGTTACATTACCTGAGTTCACACCTAGCAAATGGCAGACCCAGAATTTGAACTCATGTACTCTGACTTCAAATCTACTGTTCTTTCCACTACGCCCCAGGGTAGTGGATGGAAACTTGGGCTAGAATCCAGGAGACCTGGCTTGCTGAGTGACCTTGGGCAAGTCCTTTCCCATCTCTAGGCCTAAATATTCCCCTCTATATTAGGTGTGACCAGGTGGTTTCTATGTACTCTTCCAGCTCGAATGTTCAATGACTTTATGACTGTTGTCTTTCCATCTATCTCTCCCTCCCCCTCCTCTCTCTCTCTCTCTAGTCAGTGGCCTCAGGGTTGATGCTCAGTGAAGGCAGAATCAGTGACTGGCTTTGTATGTGACTGACTTCTGCCCGGCCCTCCTCCTCTCTTACCATAGGTCCTGAGAAGGTATCAAAGGTCCCTATTAAAATGAAATGTTATCTTGAAAGTGTAACACCTCAGGCTGCCATCAGAAAGTAGAGAATAGACCAAGGGCTGTGCAGCGTCCAGAGAAGAGTAAGGAAAAATGGGACAAGGGGGTGCTGCTAACTCTAGGACTTTCTTCAACTTGTCAGTTTTCCCTTGTTACAAGAACCATGAAAAATTTCTTCCCACTCCCTTTCCCTGTGTTCCCACCCCCAGAAGGTAGGAGCCAGCTTTAGTGAAGAGACATCTAGATTTGGAGTCAGAACTGGTTCAAATTCCATTTCCATTGCTTTTCTACCAATATGACTTTGGACATTTGAGGCAGATGGATGGTGCAGTGGAATCAGGAAGACTCCTTTTCATGAGTTCAAATCTGGCCTCACTTACTAGTTGTATGACCCTGGGCACGTCACTTAATCCTGTTTGCCTCCATTTCTCATTTGTAAAATGAGCTGAAGAAGGAAATGGCAACCCATTCCCATATCTTTGCCAAGAAAACCCCAAAATGGGGTCATGAAGAGCTGGCCATGATTGAAACAACCAAACAGCAAATGACTTTGGGCAAGTCATATAATCTCTCTGGCTCTCAGCTTCCTTATCTGTAAAACGAGGGGACTGGCCTAGATCCCCTTCAGCTCTACCTCTATGAGGAAATGTGTTTTGTGAGCCTTGATGTGCTGTATAAATGTTTATAAGGTGTATCATGGTGGTCCTAGGGAAGATTGTCCCTCCATAGAAGCTAGGAAGGAGGGTTTAGAAAAAGCATCAGCCAGGAGCAGCTGGAGCCGTCCAGTCCCAGGGCTATATGAGAGAAGGAAGTGACAGGAAACCCTGTAGGCATTTTCCTTCTCTCTGGCTCCCAACATCCTAGAGAGGTCACTCACTTGGTGGAAGGGCTTGCTTGTCCTCACTTTATCCATCTCGACCAGGATGACCATACTGCACCTTGTGAAGCCTCCTACCCAATCCTTGAAAATATGGCGCCCTGGAGAACACAGTTCTAGGGTCCAGAAGGGAAGGAGGAATCACCTCACCCCTTTGCTTCTCCAAGTCTCCTTTCCTATTACTGCTTCCATACCAATAGTCACATCAATCAATTGATCAACCAATCAAATACCTCCTATATGTTGGGCTCTGTGCTAGATGCTAGAGATACAAACACAAAATGTCCTAGGGGACTTAACATTCTATCAGTGGATTCAACATATATAAATAAGCACAAAGTAAATACATAAATGTAAGATAATTTAGGGGAGGGAAAGCATTAATAATAGGAGCAGGGCAGGTCTCATGTAAAAGGGGATCCTTGAAATGATGTTTGAAGGAAACTAAGGCTTTTAGCTAGGACAGCTAGGTGCTATGTGGACTTGTAGTCAGTAATATCTGAGTTCGAATTTTCACTCTGATACTAGCTGGGTTACCCAGGCCAACCAAATCAATAATTTTGCTCTAAGAGTCAGTTTCCTCATCTGCAAAATGGAGGGAAAAATATTATCTATCATAGGTATGAGTATATATATATATATGTATATATATGTATATATGCATACATATACAATCTTATTTGATCCTTGTGAATGTATGTGTGTGTGTGTGCGTGTGTGTGTCTGTACTTTGCAAACCTTAAAGTACTTTGTAAATGTTAGCTATTGATATTAAGAGCCAGAGGGAGTGTAGGAGTTAAAATGTTATATGTAAGAAACAGCAATAAGTCCAGTTTGACCAGACCTTAGAGAGTATGAAGAGAATAATGAATAATAAGACAAGAAAACTAGGTTGGAAGCAGGTTATAAAGAGCTTTAAGTGTCAAGGGCCACCTTGCTGTTCCTTGGACCAAGTCTTGGAGGGGGGAGAGCAAACCCTCCCCCCAGCCCAACCAGTTATCAGGGATTGGCCCCTGATTGCAAAATCATGAGTAGTCACAGGCCAGCTCCAGCAGGCAGTGCTTCCTGGATGAGCCCCCTGAGCCTTGGGCTCAGCATGACCAGCCTAGAATCCAGCTCGTCACCCAGGGGCTTCCTGGTGAACACTGGGTGTCTAGGGGAGACAGAAGGAGCAAGAGGAATCATGGTCCCTATCTTTGTGGGGATGCAAGAAGAACTGAGGGCATCAGGTATTGTGCATAGAAAGTAAGTGTTGTAAGAGGTCTGAGGGAGAGAGAGATCATTTGGACTGGAACAGGGAGGTTGAGGAAAACTCTCTGGAGGAAATGGTATTTGAGGTAGGCCTTGAAGGATGGACAGAATTAAGGGAGGTACTAAAGATGGCAAAGGTTAGAGGGCATAGCTTGAGCAAAGACCCCTAGGTATATGCAGGGGGATGTTGGCTAGCCTAATGAAGGATTAAGAGGGCATCTGGTATCTACCATAAAAAGTAGAGCAGTTAAAGGGAAAGTTATCTTACCATGGTACCCACCTATGGCCTCTAAAATGTTGAGTCTTGGAACTAGAAGAGTATCAATGACCTTAGGTATCCACCCACACAAAGGGGCTGCTTAGGGTCAGAAGGCTCCACCCTAGACATAGCCACAATTGGTTGAGCAGCATAGAACTACAGTAACCCCTAAACCCACACTGGAAATAACCCCCTCCACCCCAGGACCACAGCAAGAAATTCCCCCTCTCCCTCCACCAGGCAAAGAGAGGAATTACCCAAACCCCCACCCTCTGGGGCCATGTTGGCAGCTACCTGCCTTCTCCCTCAGCTCCCTACAAGTTCCTGGAGAACATGGTAGCCTGGTCAGGTCCTAGGCTGAGCAGAACTTTAGACCTTAGAGTGAAGGGTCAGAGAGGTTTGAGCCCTTCCAGTGACCAGATCTCTACAGTTGTTGCTGGGGACATGACATCTCTATTTTGGTAGAAAATAGGAAGTGGCCCCAAATGGTCCAACCGGCCATCAGCCATTCTTGCTTCCTCTTTTCCAGCTCTGCCCTTGGACAGAGCCTGGAGCAATGAACTTGAAGCCCTGAGCCTTGAGTATAGTGGGGGTTGGGGGCCAGGGGGTGGGAACAGCTCCCGGAATGGTGGCTGAGTCACGAGCTGATGGAGTTGACGGGAAACCTCAAGACCCTGAGCTTCCAGGAATGCCAGTGCCTACAGCACTAACCGGCTGCTCGACCTTTGTCCTTTCACCTATGATGTTCAGGGTACCTGGGGCAACTTCGGAATGTTCCCCACCCCTCCCCCAGGTCCTCCCTGCCTTGGGCTAAGTAGAAATTCTCTACTCTAACCCCTTCATTTTACAGATGAGGAAATGGAGGCCTAGGAAGAGCCAAGTTACTTACCGTAATCATATTAATTCACACTGGAGGTACTAATGGCTGATAACAGTTCAAGAGTCTCCTTTGTATTTGAATTTAGCCGAGGGATTCTGGAAGCTCCCAAATCCTTCCAAAAGGAATCTCTAAAGGTAGGATTGGGGGAAGGTGGAGGGATTTTCAATAAGTAGCTGGGTCTGGATTCAAACCCAGGTCCTCTGACTCCAAATTCTGGTTGCTTTTCATTTGCTCCACACTGATCTCTCCTTTTTCCAAACCACACAATCTGATGTTCTGTTGGGGGTGGGGGCGGGGGGGAGTTGCTATGCAGTGAAGGAGAGTTGGGGGGGGCAAGGGGGGTGGGAATTAATGCTGCTTCCCACACTAGACCGAATGCTTTCTGAGGACGAAGATTGTAATCGCCTTCTTGGCTTCAGGAATAGGGATGGGAGTACACAGCTGGGCTCAGAGAGGTCATTGAATATTTATGCAGAGCTTACATTTTCTATATCATGCCAGCAGAGGGAGCAAGAACACCTACAATTGGAATTCCCATTTTATAGATGAAGAAACTGAGGTCCAAAAAAGTGCTTTCCTCACCCCCACCTCGTAAGGTCACTCAGAGACTTAGAGGCAAGGTCAGTTCTAAAGTTCAAGTCTCCCAACTCTCAGGCCAGGGATCTTTCCTGAGCATAGGCGATGCACTCTGGCAAAGCCTGGACATTGACTGATTGTGTAGTTCCAGGAAGTTTGTGGTGCTGTGCTGAACCTCACAGTTCCACATTTTCTCTTCCCTACGGAGGCTTCCACTTCTAATACCAAACTCTCCAGAAGTTTCTTTCACTGGCATCTGAGACAAGAATCTGATAAACTAATGTACAATGAAATAGTAATGGCCCAGGAAGGCCTGAATTCAAATCCCACCTTGGATACTTAGTGGCTGTGTGATCTTGGGTAACTTCTCTGGGCCTCAGTTTTCTCATCTATAAAGTAGTCATAATAATAGCATTTACAGGTTGTTGTGAGGATCAAATGAGATAATATACGTAAAGTGTGTCATAAATGTTGAAGCTCTGTATGATTAGCTATTATATTATTATTATTGATGGTGATGATGATGATAGTTGATAACAGCTCCTGTCCCCCTCCTAGAGGAATCTGCATTTTTGCAGAGCATTCTGGGAGGTGTCCCAGGAGGATCTGAGGCATTAGGAGTTGTGTGGGGGTAGATACTTCTGGGAGCTGAAGCTGTCTGGCAGCCACTCCTCTCACGTCAGACAGGTGGCCACCTCCTCTGGATTTGTCTGCCTACTCTCTCCAGACACGAAAGAGGGTCCCAAGAGGAGGGGGCCCATTACTGGGCCTGTGCTCGACTATCACAAGGACTGTGATGAGTCTCTGCCTCCCTGATAGGGTCCTGAGGGGAGGCTTGTGGCCTTGGTGACTCTCCATGACTTATCTCAGAACTCGCTCCGTCTCATGGATCATCCCATGAGCCTCAAGATGGGGGCAGAGGAGCAAATATCAGATGAAATGTGTGCGTACACGCATTTACGACACGTGGTGTAGCACAAATATCATCAGCTGGGGCCCCAGACTGGCCCCAGACTCAACTTGGCCTGAGCCTGGTTACCAAGCATAAATACAAACAGATCTACTCACCAGACTCGAAGGCCAGGATTTGCAAAACTCCACTGGGCTCCTTGCCAGCTAGGGATATCACCCCACCCCCACCACCAACCTCTGTGGCAAAGCAGGATCCTTATCTGCCAGCTTGCTAGGGGATATACTTTGGTGCCTTCGATCTTTCCCTCCTCTCCCGCACACCCCCAACTCCTCAAGGTCCCATTAGCAGGCTGGAGAGCTATGGCCCTGACCCCAAGCAACCCGTGCCCTGACAGCATCTAGGTGGAACTGTGGATAGAATGCCGAGCCCAGAGTAAAGAATATCTAGGTTCAAATCCAGCCTCAGACACTAGCTGTGTGACACTGGATAAGTCACCTAACTGCTGTTTCCTCATCTGTAATCTGGGGATAACAGTAGCACTTACTTCCCAGGGTTGTTATCAGGATCAAGTGAGACAATATTTGTAAATCACTTGGCTCACAGTAGGTGCTTAATAAATGCCTGTTCCCTTCTTCTTTCTCCTAGGGTAGTCAGCTCTCAAATATCTCCACATGGATCACAGCATCATAGATTCAGAGTTGGACTTTAGGATCAACTAGTCTAACCTCCTCCTTTAACAGGTAAGGAAACAGAGGCCCAGAGAAGTAAGGGGATTTGTCTAAGGTCACACAGATAGTAAATGGCAGGGTCAGGATTTGAACCTAGGACCTCTGACTACCACTTCAGAAGTCTTTCCTTTCCCTCACTTATTCATTTGAAAATGTTTCCAGGCTTATAAAACTCAGTCCTTAGTCACTGCCCAGCTCAAACCCCAAGAGCAAATGAACCCTAGGGCATCTCTAGTTGATTTGATCTGCCTCATGTGAATGCATCTTCTTACATCATGCATCATTTGTCCTGGTTATAGTCAGGCCCATTCTTGGCCACACTGGTCTGGGCTGTTCTCTCATTGTGTCTGCTGTTCCCAGGGTTGAGTTCCTTACTACGCCATTGTGAACTCCCGAGGGCAGAGTCTGGGTTGTCTCCTCACTCTCCATCCTTTCTACTATGTGTATATATATATATATATATATAACATATACTATATGCTCTAGCATGATGTACGTGGTAGGTGGTTAATAAATGCCCGCTGAATTGGATTTTGTTTGTTTTGGATTCGGATGGCTCTACCACCTGACTTGTGTCCCAAGACTAAGGCCAAGTGAAAAGCTTATACTCACGAGGGCCCGCAGAGTATCCCGCCCCCACTGTCCTGGGCTGCCCCCGTTCAAGCCCCTGGTTAACAAGTACCTTCCAAGAGAGCAGCTATTGCCTCCCTGCACAAACATGTGGGCTCAGCTGTTATCAGGGCTGGGGGTGCTGATCTGAGGGAGTACTGCATGTTTTCACTATAGACACAGAATGGTTTATTTGAAGTCCTGGCACCCTGGAGAGCTTCCTGCCCAGGCAAGAACTCCCCTAGATGTCAGCAGCATTTCCACATCTTACCTCATGGGGGTTGGAGGCTTTTCCTACAGCAAGTGCTAGGTACCAGAGGCTAAAAAGACCTTTTCCCATGGCCTCTCCACTGCTTCTATCAATCAGACTGGGCCAGGCCATCCGGGGTGAGGCTAAAGGCTCCCTCCTTGGAGCCATCCATCCTGGTCCCTGGCAGGGGGAAGAGACTATATTACAGCAATACTGCCCATCCAGAAAGGGGAATTCCATCCTTGGGGAAGGAGTGGGGCCCAGCAGTGAGAGATGGACACTCAGAGATTTGACTGTTGGCTCAGGGCTTGAAAACGTGGGCTGTGGCCTCAGTGGGGCCAGAAAAGGCCTCCCTGCTTCCACACACACAGAACCTGGAATTCCACCATTAGATCAGCATTCCTCTGGGAATAAACATTACCGTCTTCCTGATTGGCTGGTTGGGGCAGGGAGAGAAATGAAGAGGAGACAAGAGAGGGGTAGGCCCACCATTTGGTCTCCAATCCCCCTGGGCGTGTGGCTTTATTAGAGACTTCCCCCCAGTCTACCCCAGATGGAAGGGAGGGGCCCAGGAAGTGTGGCTTGTAAGGTCAGAACGTAACATTCGAAGCCTGGAACAGGATTAGAAGTTTGGAGTTTGCTATCTGACCTAGGGTGTGACCTCCCCTTTCTGTGCCTCAATATTCCCAGTTGTCAAATTGGATTTCCTCATTTTCAAATAAGAGAAGATTGGAGTAGGTGGCCTCTGAGGACCCTCTGAATACTAAATTTCTGACCCTATCATCTTATGTCCTGGGTTCCAGTCCCAATGCTTTCATTATGTGATCTCTGGTCAGTGACTTTCTCTGGGCCTTGGTTTCCTTTGTAAAATGGGAATGATGGTGAGGATAATGATGATGACCATGACGACATACTACTTACCTCCTAGAGTTAGGAGGGAAGCACTTTGACATCCACTAACAGAGGGGTCTCAGGGTGAAATGGAGCCATCCTTTACTTTCACAGCTAGAAGGATATGGGAAAAGGGGGTTGAAGGGCTCTTGAAAAGGCTGTAGAAATGTGAGCCGCTATTGTCATTGCTGCCTATGACCAGCTGGAAACTTGGTCGGAAGAGGGAGTGGATACCTCCGGAAGCTACAAAATCAAGAAGGAACTTGAGCCAAGAAAGCAGGCATTGAACCCCAAAACTTCTCAGCTGAGGTGAGAGGGAGAGAACTAATTTTTGTCTGTGGTCATATGCTTGACGAGCCCCAGGACCAGTAGTGGGGAACATTTAAAGTATGGGCCTGTAGGAAAGGCTGTTGGACCCTTCAGAGAAAATTTGAGAAGGCCCCATTTCTTCCTGGGAACCTTCAGGGTAGGGTGTGTAAGCCTTAGGGGGAGTTGACTCAGACCAACGGGTCTAAATGATCTAGGCTGCAGCTAGGGGACAGGGGAAACCGAAGCCTGGAGTGGGAATGCCATTCCTCGGGGTTATTCTGCCCTGAGCCCAGGGGCAGGATAGAGCTGATGACTCTTTGGCTCAGGCCAGAACCCTTTAGGCCCCCAGCTGCTCCTGCCACACATGGTGACTGGCAGACTCAGACAGGACAGAGCTGGCACCTGTATCATGCTCTGCCCTCTCCAAAGTGCTTTGGCATCCATTACCAAGGTCTAACTGTGTGTCATTCCTCTTCATTACCTGCAGAATCAAATACAGAGTCTTTTGCATACTATTTAAAACTCTTCCTAACCTGCCCTCTTTCAATCTTCCCAGTGTTCTCACACTATTCTCCGTGAACTCTAATATCTAGCATCACTGGCCTATTTCCTTACAATTTCCCCATGAGATAGATAGTGAAAGTATTGTAATTCCCATTTTACAGATGAAGAAACTGAACCCTAGAGAGATGGTGATTTATCCAAGGTTATATAGCTAGTGGGTGTTGGAGCCAGGACTCAAATTAATTTCTCTCGATTCCAAGTCCAAAGCATCTTCTGCTATATTTTATTACCTCTCATTTGTACTCAAATAAGAGTATCTGTCCCATGTTGGTCTGTTCTATCTTTTTTTATAATATAAAGTCTTGGAGGTTGGAGACTGTTTGGGTTTATCTTTCTCCTTATCCCTTCACCATAGTAGAACTGAGACTGCTGCTGCCCCCTTCCCCTGCCTTCCCCCCTAACCGTCTGTACAGGCTAACTGAGTGCGGAAGGCCTGTGCCTGTGCATTGTGGTACAGGGCTGCACCAGACCCAGCCTGAATCACGGAGAACTAATTGTTAAATTTTCAGTGTGAGGATTTACATCTTGGAAATCAGCCAGTGCTGCAAATCAGGGCTTGATTTATTGTTTTCTTGATTGTCTAGACTGAAGAAAATGATGGAGAAAATGTTAATAATGCATATTAAACTGAAGAGTGTGTCATGCATACGTTTTTTTTTTTTGAGAGCCAATTGTTAAACATTTGCCAGCATACTCCTGGAGGGGAAAGAGCCTTGACTTAGAGTTGGGAAAAACATAGAATCACAGAAATACAGAGTTGTAAGGGACCTCAGGGGCCATCTAGTCCAACTGGTATCTGAAAAAAAAAATTCATACTAAAACACATCCATCAAGAGGTCATCCAACCTTTGCATGAAGATATTCAGCAAGTAGAAACCTTTCACCTCTCTAGGTGGCCTATGCTACTTTAATTACTAGGAAGTTTTTTTTCCCTAATATCAAGCCTAAATCTGAGTTCTTGTAACATCTACTCATTCTTCTTTTAAAAATTGTTTTATTTATTTTATTTTTAATTTGTGGAATAAAACAAGCATTTCCATAACACAGTATAATAAAAAAGATTGCACATGAAACAGTAAATCTATTATGTACAACTTGCTATTCCTTATAAATATATAATAAAGTTTTCATGCAAATTTCTTTTTTCTTTTTTCTTTTTTTTTTTGTTTCCTCTTCCCCCCCCCAGACATGGCTACCATTAGACACAAATATGTATATATGTGTAAAATCATTCTATATATACTTTTATTTATCAATTTTTTCTTTGGATGCAGATAGTGTCTTCCATGCCTCTTAGTTCTACATTCTGGGTCCATACAGACCAAGTCTTCCACCTAACAGCTTTTCAAATACTTGAAGACAGCTATCATGTTCCCCCAAGTCTATTCTTCTCGAGGCTACACACCACAAGTTCCTTTGGCCAGTCCTCATAAGCATGAACTTTTGTCATTCTGGTTACCCTGCTCTCAGTGTTCTTCAGTGTATAAATATTTTAGTAAATAAATATATTTATTATGTTAATATTATATTATCAAATAAATATTTTAGTCATTGAAAAATGGCCTTTTCTCAATTCTCATCCTTCTTGAGCTCATTTCAGCACTTGACATTGTTGGCCACTTTCCCCACTTCTTACTGGGTTTTTGTGACTCTGCCCTCTCTTGGTTTCCCTCCTATCTGTCTGACCACTCCTCATCTCCTTTGTTGGTTCCTCATCCATATTAAGTCCTTGAACTCTGTCTTTTGGAGGTTCAGCCCTGGGTCACCTTCTATTCTGTCTCTATACTCTCTCACTAGGTGACCTCATCACCTCCCATAGGTTAAATTGTCTCTGTGCAGATGATTCCCAAATCAATAGATTCAGCTCTTTGGAGCTCCAGTTACATGTCTCCAATTGCCCAGTGGATATTTCAAACTGGATGTCCCATAGGTATTTCAAAGTTAACATGTCCAAATTAGAACTCATTATCTTTCCCCAGGAATGTCCTCCTTTCCAAACTTCCCTATTACTATTGCATCCTTTCAGTCACCTGGGTTCCCAGACTTGGAATCATCTGTGATGCTTCATTTCCCCTTACCCTTCATATTTAACCAGTTGCCAAATCTTATTGTTTCTACCTCCACAACATCAACCTCATTTGTTCATTTTCTTTATTCATGTCACCACCCTAGTTCAGGTCCTCATGACTTCTCACCTGAATTACTGCAATATCCTCCTAATTGGGCTCCCTTCCTCTCCAATCCATCCTACATACAGCTTTTAAGGTGATTTTCTTCAAGTGCATGTCTGACCGTGTCACATCCTTCCTCAATAAATTTTTCTGACTTCCCATTCAAATCTGGCCTCAGACACTTCCTAGCTGTGTGAGCCTGGGCAAGTCACTTAACCTTTATTTGTTTCAATTTCCTTAGCTATGAAATGGAGATAATAATAGCATCCATCTGACAAGGCTATTGTGAGAATAAAATAAAAGAATATTTGTAAAAGTGCTTGACACAGAGTAGGCACTTTATAAATGCTTATTTCCTTCCCCTTTCCCTTCTAGGATCAAATATAATCTCCTCTGTTTGACTTTTAAAGTCCTTTACGAAAATCTAGAAAGACTTACATGAACTGATGCAAAGTGAAGTGAGCAGAATCCAGAGAACATTGTACACAGTAACAGCAACATTGTGTGATGATCAACTATGAATAACTTAGCTCTTCTCATCAATGCAATGATCTAAGACAATTCCAAAGGACAAATAATGGGAAATGCTATCTACCTCCACAGAAAGAACTGATGGAGTCTGAATGCAAATCGAAGCATACTATTTTTAGTTTATTTTTGTGTTTTTTTTTCCTTTTGTTCTGTTTCTTCATTCACAACATGACTGATATGGAAATATGTCTTACATGATTGTACATTTATAACCTATATTAAATTACTCACTGTCTTAAGAAGAACAGAGGTAAGGGAGGGAGGGAGAACATTTGAAACTCAAAATTTAAAAAATATGAAAGTTAAAAATTGCCTTTACATGTCATTGGAAAAATAAAATACTATTTTTTAAAAAGTCCTTTGCAACCTAGATCCAGCATACCTTTCCAACCTGGTCCTAGCCTTCTTTGCTATTTCTCACACATGATGCTCCATTTCCTATACCTAGAAGGAACTCTCTCTTCCCTTCTGCCTCTTCAACTCCTTTATTCCTTTTAAAATTCAGCTCAAGCAGCTCCTTCTATGAGGCCTTTCCTATTATCCCCAAATGCTAAGGCCCCTCCCCACCAGATTTGTTTTGCATTAATCGTGTATACATTTGGTATATATTTCTTTATGGACACATAGATTGTAAGCCAGCTCCTTGATCGCAGCAGGGATAGTTTCATTTTTGCTTTTGTATTATCTGGGCTTAGCCTAGTGCCTGACGCACAGAGTTGCTCAATCGTTGCCTGTTGACTGATTGATTAGTGCCACCTCAATCCCAAAGGGTCTCTTGCCATTTTTGTGATATCTCAGTGCCATCATCAGGTCCCTTGAGCTCTCTTGGGAGTGCAAGGCCAAGGCCTCTCTGTGCAATGCCTTAAGGTTGAAATCATACTTTGAAGTCCCCGTGATTCCCATTCCTACTACCATCATAGTGTGGCAGCAAAAATCCCAACTAAAATCTCTTCTACAGAAAGCCTTTCTCAAACTCTCTTAATTCTAGCATCTTCCTTTTTTAATTATTTCTTCTATATCCTGTATGTAGCTTGCTTTGTACAGGGCAGTGAGGTGGTTCGTGGATAGAGTGCCAGGCCTGGAGTCAGGAACACCTGAGTTTAAATCTGGCCTCAGACACTTACTAGCTGTGTGACCCTGGGCAAGTCACTTAACCCTGTTTGCCTCAGTTTCCTCATCTATAAAATGAGCTGGAGAAGGAAATGGCAAACCACTTAAGTATCTTTGCCAAAACCCCAGACCCCAAACAGGATCACAAAGAGTTGGACATGACTGAAAAATGACTGAACAACAAAGCTTACTTTCTATATGGTTGTTTCTTCTCTCCTCTATTAAAATTTGAGATCCTTGAGGGCAGGGACTATCTTTTGCTTCTTTTTGCATCCCCAGTATCACAGTGCCTGGCACATAGCAGGCGCTTAATAAATGTTTATTGACTGGCTGTGAACTTGGGTTCAAGTCCAGATTCAGTTACAAGCTATGCATCTATGGGCAAATCATTTAATCTTTATGAGATTTGGTTTTCTCATCTAAAAAGTGAATATAATGGTATTTGTACTATGTTTCTCATAGGGGCTGGGGTGAGAAAAGGGTTTCATAAACCTTGAAGTGCTGTATAAATGTGAGCTGTTATTATCATCACCATAAATGTCAACATGATTCCTATTTTAGGATCATAAGATCACAGATTTAGAGCTGGAAGGGACCTTAGATGTCACTGAATCCAACCCCCTCATTTACAGATAAGAAACTGAAGCACAGTGAGGATAACTGTGGATACCCAGGGTTACACAAGTAATAAGTGTCTAAGGCGCGATTTGAATCCAGATCCTTCCTGACTCTAAGTCCAGAGCAGTAGCAGCTTCTTCTATATTGTCCACATCCTTTCCTGGTATAGTGGATAGAATCCTGGCCTTGAGTCAGGAGGGATCTGAATTCAAATCCCACCCTACACTTATTAAACCTGGGCAAGTCACTTAGGCTTTTCCCTGTTGTAAACATAATACTGACAGTAGCCACCTCACAGGGTTCTTCCTAGGCTGAAATGGGGAAAGTGTATGGAAGGAGTTAAGCACATTTTAAAACATTATACAAGATATCCTCAAAGTCGTAGACCTTGGAGACACACTATATATGTCAGCTAATATTATCTGCTTTTCTGCTGTCCCCATGTGCCCAATGCCTCTACATCCCTCCATTTTCCCTTTGATCTTCTTCATTCCTTGGTGGGATTGGCCAGATGACTATCTAGTCCCCAGATGGCTCCAGGCATCTCTGTGGCTCCAGGACAGTAATGGCACTGATGCCTTGTAATGTAACCATGCAGAATCTTTAGACGGCCAGTCCCCCTAACAGATCTAAATGGCCCCAGCAAATGGACTTGGGAGTATTTTCCTACATCCATGCTACTCATTCATGCATTCATTCATCCAGAACAATTTTTACATAGCAACCTTGCGTTTAGCTAAAGTGTTGGAGGAAAGACAGAGAAGAAGAAAACATGGTCCCTGGCCTCTGGGAGATCACAGTCTGGTTAGAGACCCACAAAACACATAGGAAATCACAACAAAGTATAAAAGGTAAAACAGATGTTGCAACTGGGAATAATAATAGAGAGCATTTATATAGTGTTTTTTGTAAAACACTTTACAGATATTATCCCATTTAGCCTTCACAACAACCTCACGAGGTGGATGCTATTATTATCCCCACTTTACAGATGAAGAAACTAAGGCAGAGAGAGACAAAGGTTAAGCAATTTGCTTAGCATCACATAGCTAATATCTGAAGCTGACTTTGAACTCAGGTCTTTCTGACTCCAGGTTCAGTACCACGCCACCTAACTGACCAAAAGGGCTTGTATGAACCGATGCAGAGTGAAGTGAGCAGAAGCAGGAGAACAATTTCTATAAAAACAACAACACTGTAAAAGCAAACACCTTTAAAAGACTTAAGATTTCTGGTCAGCTCGATGGCCAGCAATCAATCCAGAGAACTGATGATGAAGCATGCTACCCACCTCTTGCCAGAAAGGTGATGGACACAAGATGCAGAATGAGATACATGTTTTTGACCATGGCCAATATGAGAATTTGCTTTGCTTTACTATATGTGTGTGTGTGTGTGTGTGTGTGTGTGTGTGTGTGTGTATTTGTTACAGGGTTTAATAGACTTTTTCTTTTTTTTTTTTCTAGTGGGGAGGAGATGGGAGAGAGAGAAAATACATGCTTATAATTGAAAAAAATTAAAACAAAAACAAAAGTGTTAAAGAAACAAAAGGGATATTACCTCCTTAGGAAGCCTCCGTTGACTACTCTGACCCACACTGTTCTCTTTCTTCCCCGAGCTTTTTGTAACATCTTTACCAGTCCCACATAATTTAGAGCTCAGCTCTATACTGACCATTCAGCCTGAGTTCCTGAGGGGCAGCACTATATCTATCCCTGGCTCCTTCTCCTAGATTAGCAGAGCCCAGGCCTAGGCCTAAAGGGTTGTCAGTCCAGACATGGGGAGCCACTTTCTGGGGCTGGCAGGCGAGTGTCAGTTGGCTGAGGACGTTGGAGCTGTGCTGGCCCTCCTGGGGAAGGTTAGGAAATATCTTTGGGGGCATCTTTCCTGTTCTGATAAATAACTGATCTGTGGTCGGGACACAGAGGTCATCTCTCCCCAGAAAAAGCATGGGAGAAAACCACTTCTGACCGCCCGGCCGGCCTGTGGGTGATGTAAGGGGAAGGCTGCCTTCCTGGCGGCCGGGCTGCTGAGAGGTGA